AGAGACCGGCGGCTTTGGGAAGAGAACGCCAGCAGCCTTCGCCGTGTTTACGGATGTAATCGATGAGATGTTGGTCTTCTTCTTTGGTCCACGCTCCTTTGTTCGTGTGAGCCTTCTCGCAGCAAGGCGACCTTCCCATGGTGATGGTGATGCTCTTTCTCTGTCGCTCTTGGTTCTCTGTTCTCTTATGTGCGTATGTGTGGAGGAGGAGAATATATGGAGAAGAGGAAGGCAAGAGAGCGGGCTCTCTAGGGCCGAAGGGGGTATAAAACGAGGAGGCTTTGACCAAGTTGGTGAGAGAGAGAGAGAGGATTCTCTCCTCTTTGTGTTAGGTTTGATTTTGCTTTTTTATTTTCTAATAAATTCATTCCCTACCCTACAGAGTTATGGGGAGTGTCTCTCTCTTGGGTGATGGATTTCAAAATCAGTGTGTGTAAATGGTGGTTGGTTAGTTTCTAACCTTCTAGAAGAAAGGGAGGGTCCAAGAAGCTCCAACTCCAACCAGGTATCATCAGCCCTTTTGACGCCAATCGTCACTCAATGGCTATTATAGTCCTTTCCTTCCCCATCAAAATCACCCCTCCCTCTTATTGTTTATATATTTGATGTGGCAGAAAACAATCAGCAGTGATAATGTATCAAATGACAGAACAATACCCATGTGAAACACAGAAAGATTCTTATTATATGATTTGATGTGATGGACAACAAAAGACAAAACAACGTAATGTCCACTACATGACACTGCAAGTGTTTTGAGAGAGAGAATACATAGATCTAAACCTCGACCCAACAAGTGTGATGCGTGGCATACAGAACAGAGCGAACCGTCTAATGTTTAAAAGAATGTTATGTACACGCAAAGCAAATTCCCAAATCAGAGAGGTAAAAAACAAACCCTATAAAGAATGTCTGAAAGATGAATACAAGACAATACAGTGGGAGAGTAAGGATTACTGACACTGTGTATTGCCGGTGATGACTTTCCAGGTGAGTTTTACTGTGGTGTATATTATGTGGTCGGCTCGGCCTCGGTTTTAGGTCTCGGCCTCGGGTTCGGGTTCTTTGCACATGCAGTCGGGCATGGGGAACGTATACAGGGACGAAGCGGGTTTCCTCAGTTCAACTCCCTTTGCGTCATTGTGTCTCAGCATATCTTGCATCTGTTTCTTGAAGTAGTCCCATCTACCAAAATCATCACCAAACCCATAATGTTTTAGTCTATGAAAGCACTATTCAAACTCATCAGACGATGCCCGAAAACTTCAAGACTTGCCACATAAACTTATTTATTGTTGCTGGAAATAAATGGGCATCACGCATTAAGTCGCAAGTTTTATCAAAAACACATGTATTTTCAGCCAACATGGATGGCATAGGTCGAGTATCCAATTTTTTCGGGTTATCAAACCCCATACGTACGTCTCGGATCTCACGATATATTACCAATCTCGATTCATTTTGACCGGATACCCAGAAGTCGGGTACCAAGATATTTTTCGGGTATTCAAAAGTATATATATATATATATATATTTTTTTTTTGCTAACCAGGATGGTTCTCCGGGCCTTCGGCCCGACTACATCCACCCTAGGCCCGGGACCAGCCTTTGTATATGGACCATTTTGATCCAGAAATTACATCCTTCCCCGAATCGAACCCATGACCTCGAGGATGACTTTGCCACCTCTCAGCCACTGGACCACCAACTATTGGGTTATTTAAAAGTATATATTGGTAATACCCGAGGATATTACCCGCAGATAATATTTGATCTCGTGACCCAATCTCATCTCATATAATGCTCAGGCATCCGAAATTCAAGTTTTTTTTTTGCCCTAACTGTATGAGATCGAGTATGGAAAATGGAAAATGAACCTAATTTGTTGAAAACGACGAAAGTAGAAAAGTTACCTGATGTTTGGGTTATCAAAGAGCTGGACTAATTTTCTCTTGTCCGGTTTGATGGTCTTGGCGTGACCTTTGTAAAGATAGCGCCGGTGACCCATCAAGAAGTGAGGAAAGTTACCACCTTGGGTGGAAACAAACACTTCACTGTGGAGGCATACCGTGTAATCAAGAGCCGCCAATCTCGACGAATGGCCCTACAATCACAAAGCATGTTCAGTTCTATATTTCCAAATTTGCCAGCCTGAGTTATTTTTCCTTATGAAACAGTGATACCTATATTTGACAGAAATCAAACCCATACTAAACAATATGAAATGCTGGATATAGTCCGCAGGCAATCATATAATATATCAACGAGGAATCATATTTATATCAATCGCTTTAGACACAAAGAAAGTTCGGTGTTTAATTACCTTAAATGGAGCAAGTTCCTCTGGAGTAGCTAGAGTATCCTTTGTCTGGAGGAGCGGAAACATCTGCTTAAGAGGAGCCATATACTTCTCTGCCTTGTAAATATTTCCAGCAGCAACATAAACCAATGTGGTATTGTCAAAACCCATGCCTCTAAGCATCATTCCCACCTGCAGAACAATGTTTACACGATATTTCGGTCAGCTACCATCTTTCCTCTGTCATCAAATCCCAATGTCCCATGCGAGTATAGTCAGAAGATAAGCTCAATTGAATTTTGAGAGAACTTGGAGAGAGTCCGATACCTCCAATGGGGTTAAAGGGCATTTTCCGTCTACGCGGTTTTGCCCGGGCCTAATTACTCTGCCTCTCCTCCTGAACTTTCCTCTCCACCCTTTTTCTCGAGCCTTATCCATTTCTTGCTTGTCAGACATCCCAAAGTCATACTCACAACACGAGAAGGCAACCATATCCTTCAAAAGAGCAGTAAATTGAATGCATGAGAAGAGGCAACAAGGAAATTGCGTAGAAAGAAATGTGGAGGGGAGCAGATTTCAAACCATTTCGAAGCGGAGATGAACAGAAACATATTTTCCTCCTCTCCCGAAACTCTTCTCGACCATCCTGTCGACCAATTTCTCAGCAAGCATCCTTATGGGCTCAGAGAACCTCAGTGCCTCGAAATTTGCTAGGCATCTGAGACCTTGAATATGAGCAGGAACTGCATGGGCTAGCCTGTTGGAGAAGGGCGCAACACGAACAGCCCTAAAGCAAGACACGGTATAACATTAAACAAAATCCTGCAAAGAGAGTGTTCAGGTCCCAATTTTTAAATTCAAGAAGCCAACTCGTTATACATATGCAAGAAGCCGGTATGATTTGTCTCGAATTGGTTTCTGGTAAGAACCCAATGTATACTAAGTCCACTAATCCTTACAAACCCATGGAAATAACTCATCCTTTAAAACTAGCTTGTAAGATGAAGGCTATAGCTACAACGGATCACCAAGTACCGTGCTTAGTTGAGTCACAATCTAAATACACCACTCATAGAGTTCTCCAAGCCATTTCACCTGGGTCGAAGTAGAACCATAACAGGTTCTTATAAGGTTGAACCAACAGAAAATAACCAATAAGTAGACGGGTAGGGGCATACCCCAGCCGCAAAAGTTGCGGGAGCACCTTCTGAAGATAATATGTTGGGCTTGACCAAGCCTTCAATCTCAAATTCACGATGCTGCTTATATTGTAGTTGTAGCGCTCAAGTATGTTTTTCGGCAGCTCTTTCACCACATTCACGTTATTTCTAAGAGCATGTATGAAGAAGTCTTCATCAAATATATCTCCAAATTTGCTGCAACCAAGAAAGGGAAAATTGCACATGAATATGTACACTCTCTAAAACAGCTAACGCTTCGGCCTTCTTAATCTTGAAAAAGGATTGCCTTCACTTATCAGATTAACTGAACAACCAGCCGACCATGGATAATGAACTTTCAAACTCAGGATAAAATACAGAACCAGCAATAACCTGGAATCGCGCCATACACTGTTTAAATGAAAAATCGGAATGACAAGAGTTGCATTCAGCAGTCCAGCCACAGCGACTGCATCACATATCTGTGTCAAAAAGATAAACAATTATCCAAACAACCCAGATGATCTGCGGACATATACTGCATTGTAGAAAAGGAAACACCTGCATACATCATCACCGCAGAAAAACAAACAAAGACACTATGCAGCCCTAATAACCCGAGCCCGTATACACCATGCAAATAATATGAACGGTGGATAACTCGAGCCTCAGGACAGACATACCGATAAGCGTTGTTGATTCAAACCACCATTTGCTTCGATTATAAAAAAACCATTGGAATTTGATCCTGCAAAAGCTCAAGGCTGACAATGTTACATAAGCATGCACACCACAATTCCTTGTTTCAAAAACAGACCAGAATAAAATGCACAGAACTCGAACCTGCTGCAGACACATTCGTGTTGATGCACGGTTTCCATACATTTTTAGCCCTCGGGTACCAAGCGGTCATCAACTGTATTAGAAATACTATGTCAAGAATTCATATTTTCAACTTTCATTCTAAGATTATACGAGCCAAAAACTTCAGGAATGATCCAGAGAAATACCAACACTTAGTTAAAACCACGGTATTATGAAATCCAAAGGGTTCCGCAAATTTCGATCGCGATGCATAAGGAATTAAGATGAACACAATGCATCAAAGAGAACACGAGTCTTTGTTTCATTGAAGGCAACAATTCAAAAGACACAGACAGATTAATAAACTGATACTTCAGCCAAAACTCGTTCCTCGCACAACATTCTAAGCTAAAAAGAACACAGTGAAGCACTTGCTGATTCACTTATCTTTTTGAGATACTGAAACGGACAGAAGAACATTACCGCATTGTGACTGCTTGCATTAGTATCCGCCTCCATGAACGGCCATAACCGCTTGAAGACCTTAGGACTCCGGTACACCGATCCCGGCGGAGCTCGTTTGTACACAATCTCCACACCGTGCCCTAGATCGAGAACAGAGAATCCAAACGAGCCCATGAACAACAACATCCCCGTGATGTAAAGAAGCGGCGCCAACAGAAGCACGCCCTTTCGTCTGAAAATCGAGGAAACCAGCATGAACACCAGCCTCTCTGCCAACCCCTGCTTTCCGGACCTGTGCACGCTGGCCCCGCATCCGCCGAGGCTCCTCCCTCTGCTATGGCATATGCGAGGCGAAGAAGGTGCAGATGGCGGAGATCCAGCGCCGACGCTGAGGGACCGACCATTGCCGAGCCGGCTAAGGCCGTGCATGATCGGAACCTATTCAGGCAACGATTTGGAGGTCCGGAAAAGCCTAGAGAAACAGGAGGCTAGAAGATCCAGTGAGTTTCACATGTACTGAGCACGCTCGATTCGTAATGAGACATTTACGGTAACTTCTCTTTACTGTTCGAGAGGTGGTGCGGCTCCACCAGCCTGGTGGTCCGCGCACTTCAAATCAAACAAAATCGAGAAAAGAAAAAGAAAAAAAAAGAGATGGAAGAATTTTCTCGAGAAACAAACAGAAAACGAGTGGAGCGAGAGCAGAGCAGAGGGAGCGAAGGAATGAAGAAGAACAAAGATTACGCGTCGTCTCGAGCAATCAAAATAATCACGTGAGAGAAAGCAATGGATGTAGCTCCGAGAGTCAAAAGGCAAATTAAAGTGGCTGCATTATTATATTTATTCATCTAGTTATTTTTTAAATTTAAACTTTTTATCTTTTCAAAAATATTTATAAATTTTTTTAATCATGAGATATTTTTAATTAGAACTAAATGAATAAACTAATAAATATTTCATTTCAGGATATGTTTCTAAAAGTAAATATTTATATAATATAAATTTAATTAAATATATTTTATAGAAAAATCAGATACGTTTTCTCGGCCATATGCTCGCTCTTTACTATGATAAAAGAAGTATATGTGATAATAGAAAACGTATCCAGTAATTAACATTTAATAATATTATTATTAACATAAAATTAAGAAGTTATTTAAAAAAATACAAAATCATGATTTCTAAAATATAGATATTTTTAGAGTTGTCGGTGCTAAAATATGCCTGCAGTGTTTTTTTTTGTATGAAAATATATAATTCAAAAGAGATTTTTGTGGTGGTAAAAAGACTTGTGATTTTTGTCTGATATTTTTTAAAAATTAATTTAAGAAAATTTGACTTTTATCCCCTTTCGATTTTTTGAATGCTGTAATAATAAGTTGGACTTTTTCTTGGGTGGAAATAATTAACAATTAAATATTCCGAAAAAGACTTTACCTTTTTTTGGAATATTTAAAAGTTGGGTGTATGTTGGAGAACCTTTAACAATAAGGAATGATTTGTTGGAAAGTATGCAACACCCACTATATTATTTTTACATTAAAATTGTGGATAGAATTTTAATTGAAAAATCTGTTTTTAGAGTTAAGAGTTATCTGTGTATTTAGTTATTTTTTTTCTCTAGAATCTTACTAAATTAAAAAAAAAAACATCATCAACCTATCTTATTATAAAATTATATATTGTTTGGTGTATTTAAGTATGTCTAATTTAGATTATATTTCATTGATCCCAATTAAATTAGAAATGTGGTTCTGTTTGAACTAAAATTACCATATCAATATTTGTTATTTCATCTTAGTGTTTAAATTTTGTTGTCGTCGCAAATCGGTAATCTTAATTTCATAACATTTTGGTGATTTTAAACAATTATATACGACACTTGCTCTTCGTGTCGTTTTAGATTCCTAACTTGGTTCAAACAAACAAGATTAAATTAATATATAGATTCACGTTATAAAATATAGTTTTTATTATCTTATTATAAAACATGTTAAGACCATTAATGTAGTCAAACTCCGTGGGCCTTCGACCATAGTACTATCCATTTATATCATATTGTATAAAAATTTTGTGTGAAATGGAAATTGCCACATTTGTCCCTCTTTGCTGTTTCTGTTTCGTGAATATTCTCAAAGGCTCCGTATACATTTTTCATTTTCGTTGCATTAGGAATATGGTATAAGCAGCAACATCAAACAACCCGACCACCACGAGGACAATGCCGAGGTCGAGTTCCTCGGAAAATTTCGGGTATCCAATACGTTGGCTCGGATTATTTGCGAACACAGATAACCAGCCCACTTTGAACCCGAAACTCGGATTGTCAAACGCAACACACCCGATCTCGGATACCCGAATTTTGGGGACCGCAGAATGCCCATGGGTCCCACGTGTTTGGTACTAACACCCAAACCTAGTTAGGACCGGAACCGCACAACCATGGCTTTTTCACGTATAATATTACACACGGCACGAGTTACATACTTACAATTATGTCCGGTAGTTATGTCAGTCGAGTACGTATCTCTCTATCCACAGACACTAATACAAATAAAAGAGTCTCCAGCTCTTACACGCTTTTCAATTTGGCTTCTTCATCAGTTCCTCGTACCACTGTCCATGAACGGAACCGGAGACGGTCGCCAATAGAACCAGAACATCTGCCACCTCTATCACCTTGTCCGAGAGATGACCCGCTCCGATGCGTCGGAGCGGGCCTTCCACTGCCTGTTTTCTCTTCAAGTTGCTGCCGGCCAGAACGGCAGCTCTCGTGGCAAGGTACACGGTCCGAGACACACGGGCGAACACGGGGTCTCCAGCTTGTAAGCTTTTAAGCAGCATGCTCGCCACGAAACGCTTCCTTGTCTCGAGCTGTTCTGGACCATGGGACTCAGGTTTGGTCTCCTCGGGGAAGTCGCAGATTATTTCCGTGATTTCTGGAAGGCCCGAGTCAGGTTTGGCATCTAGCGTATCGTAAAGACGATGAACGCATTTGGATACAACAGTTTCCATGTCTTTCGGGTTGGTGACTGCATTCTCACTGACAAGGGTTTGTTGGAGAATCAACACACTGCAAGAAACAATGGCCGTGCAGGAGAATTATGTACCATTACCCTAATGAAAGGCATTGTAGAGAACAATAACTAACCCTATACAAACCTGATCGAGACGAGAATGATTTTCTGAATTCTAGATTGAATAGCTCTCAGCCTGGCGAGATTGAGTCGAAAGGTTTCCGGGAGGGATTCCATAGCAAGACCACTTATTTCGCTTACCAACTTCAACAAACCAAGCCTAATACGAAGATCCACGGTTTCCCCATTGCATTCTGCCAGCTCAATTCCTGCAACAGAAGAACCCAGCAAACCATCAATAACCAGATAAACATGCTAAGGTGATCCCATTCCAATTCCCATACAAGTTCAATACTTTGCATTGATTGCTAGATTAATCTGGTTTCAGTAAGCTAGATTTGTCATCACAATCCAATCAAAGAAACCGTAAATGGGTACGCTCTCATCAACCGCAAACCTGGAAACGGAGACGGTGGGGAGTTGACATTAGACCCAGAAGAGAGTCTGCCTCCAGTTCGCAAAGTGGAAGATGGGATACCCAGAGATACAGGGTCATTGTTTGAAAGAGCAGAAAGAGCATCTGTGTGTTCATTCCACTCGGTTTCTGCCTCTCCCCGTAGAGATAAAAGCCACCGCTTCGTATAAGGAAGAGAAGAGGAAGCTTGGTCCGGAGAGCCATACCGACTGGCAAATGCCTTCTTCAGATATTCCAAACCAGCAGGTCCCTTGAGAAGTGGCTCCAACATTTTCAGACGAGCTTTGCTGATCTCTTTCTTCAGAATCTGCAGACAAGATGACATATAACGGTAACATGCTTTAAAGTTTATCACAAACCTATTACGAGGGGACAAAATAAATGATGGAAATACAATAATTAGCATAATATTGCAGTCAGGGACTCAGGGTATAATATGATTAGTGAGAGAGATGCATGGGGAAGAGAGGCAAGACTTAAAGGCTCATGGATAATTTGCGGAAAATTCTGTAAGAGAGTTCAGCAACATTTTCCAAAACTGTGATCTTGTCTAATCGCTCAAAATACTATTTGATTCAAATTTGAATTCCAATCCAACTTTATAGACGCTTTTTATCTAGAACAAAACTTGTAAAACATCATAATTGTGTCAAAGAAGCAAGAAGAAAAAAATAACACAAGTACCTGAAGCTGTTGCAAAACAAAGCGTAGGCCCTTAACTACTAAGATTCCATATGAAGAATTTGTCTGGCCTTCAGATTGAGCTATCTCTCTTAGTTCATTCATTAAATTATGATAGGTACTCCTGATCTCCTCCTCATTGGCTGGGGCAGAAAGCTTCAATAAAGTGCCAAGGGCAAACTCTAAAATATTCCCAAGATATGCCATATCGACATTTCCAGACCCCAGCGACTGAATCATGATAAGAAGAGAAGAGTTACAGTTAGCAGAACCCACAGAGATTTTTAAGTAACTGAGACAATTAAGTTCACGCGGTAACATCAGGCACCTGTGACAGGACATCTGTATCGATAGTTCGAACAATCTCTTGCCTCCAATCTCTAGGGGATATCTCACAGAGTTCATCTCTTACTTCTTTCATGAGTTTAAGAACCCAGTTAAAATCAGGTCGAGCCTCTTTCATGGATTCCATAACCCCATCCCAAAAAGCCTTTTCCATTGTCTCCTTAACTTTCTCCTGTCCAGATATAAAGCGAACAAAAGAAGAGTGGAGATGATCATATCAGTGCAATCAAGTTAATCACAGTAGTGAAGCACGCATATATCAAAGCCTTGCAAAATAAAAAAATGTTCAAGTACCTGAAGACTGCTAATATCCCCACTGTTGGTGAAACTATCAGCAAAACTGCTGTTATTGTCATGAACAATCTCATTTACAATTAATTCGTTTTCACTCACCAATGCTGCATCAAAACTAGCATCTGTCATGTTTAGAGTAGAAGTGCCTTCATTGCCTGCGTAAGAAAAATTATGTCAGAAAGAGGGTTTGTCATGGAGTCCGAGGTTTCAAGGATAAAATAATTTACCAGAGTTCAAAGATGAAGCAAAGTTTGACGAGTCTGGCGGATACGAAGATGAGCCATGTGAATCTGAATGTACTACTGGTTGTCTTGCTCCATCAACTTCAGTAAGTTTAGCCTGAGACGATGGGGAAAATGTCTTGGCATCAATACCGTCATCAACATTCTGCCTATTGAGCTCAGAAACTTCTCTAGTCTACAGGGAAATATGGTTGTGTAGCATAATTAGAACAGCGGGTATTGTAGAGACAAATCAAAAAAGAGGGATGGCAGGCAAGAGACAAGGGGAATACCAATTTCTGAGTTGCATTAACACCATGAATCTGAACGTCATCTCTGGCTATGGGAGAAAGATTGTCTTTCGACACTGCTGACTGCTCTGCTTCATGAGTTCTAGCTAAATCCTCTTCTAAAAGCTTAGCATCATTAACTTTCCAAATTACAAATTTATGCAGGTAAGAGCACCAAGCTTTATCAAAGGCTTCTAGCTGAGATCTGAAATTCTTTGAATCTAGAGCTACCAAAGATGTATTATCCTGGGCAGTAGACCCTGGTCCATCCAATCTAGTCTTCAGCAGCAACTCAAACTCCCTAATAAGATTGGCTGCAGATTCAGCCAACATAACCTCATGTTCACCTCTTCCCCTGAAAACTGCATCGGAATGACGCATGATCATGTAAGCACAAAGAAAAACTCTAGCTGGGTACCTCACAATCTTTTTAGATTTTCGAGACCCCTTTTCCTTTGATTCTACCGATGCTCGCCCACTTTTACTGATGGCAATGGGCGAGTTCCCCCTTGAAGTGGCAGAAGCAAAGTGCTTAAGAAGATGATTAATATTCGTCACTTTAGATGCATGTAAAAGAGAGAGACGAATCTCCAAACGATCAAGCAATGCTTTCACTGTTCGAAGTACTGAGACCGAATTGATTTGAAGGGCAAGCTGCTCAAATGGCATTGACTCGATAGATTTTTCATCAATTCCAAGGTTGCGATAAGCCCATGCCAAAGCGCAAGTTGTTTTCTTGGATTCAGTAAATCTTCTCCAGCATCTGGAATTGAAAAGGCTTTCGAATTATAGAAGCCAGAGAGGAAACATGATATAAATTTTTAAGGGACAATTCAATACCTTTGTACCATTCTCACACGATGCTCCTGATTCTTCTGTATTATTTTCGATGACAGATGCACATTGCTCTCCAGGCCTCGCCTTTGCCTCAAAAACTGTGCCCTTAGTTTCTTGGCCTAATATGTAAGTATTAGGACGCTAATAATATAACTGCTATGACCAATTGTGTAAAATCTTGAAACAAGAAAATGGTTTTCAGAAATGATGTAATTGCAGTAAGTAATTGAACATACCCTTTGAAGCCGATCTTCCAACCGGTCCTTCATTTTTCTTCTCTCAGTTTCCCTCTGATTATGAACAGAATTGGCAACCCCAAAAACCCGTGATAGCCTAGCACGAGCTCTTCTCCTTTCCGCTTCCAGAAATCCAAGCCGTTTTCTCTCAGCAGCTGCTCTTTTCTGATGGATTGCTGCACGTACACATTCCTTGTACCTGCTCTCCTGCATTACCCGTTGCATCAAACTCTGAGCTGCCCGCTGTCTCTTTGCCGCCCGCTGCTGTGCTATGGCTTTCAAAAGAAGCAACCTGTTTCTCTCTGCCTTTTGAACCCGTTCTTCGACTTTCGTCCCCAACTCATCACGCTCCTTCTCAAACCGCTGCTCCAGTCCACTCTTGGCAGCTTGCCTTAGCTCATCCAGCTTTGCCAGACGTGCCATCTCCTTTTCCAGAATGCTTAACCTGGGAACCAGAGAAACTTACACTAACATCAACAACTTTGCTTTTGCTCACATGCCCTTTTCGATTTAGACAGCAAAATTTCTTACCTCTTCTGCTCGGCAGCATTAAGCTTCGCTTCGAGCCGCTGACTAAGATCCTCAACCGGTGTGGTAATCTGGGTTTTCATCTTAGGTCGAGCCTTGCTTGACAGTGACTCATAGTATTGCTGCAAAACCACGATTCACAATATTCCTTAAACTCATCAAAAAAGAAAGATAAGCACGTTCCCCATTTCGTGGCTTACTTTTCTCCTCATCAATATTCTTTTCTCGTTAATTACGACGCAAAATAAAGAAACCCTTCAGAAATTAAGTAATAATTAAACATTAGACCAAGCCCACTCTACACCACAAAAAAAATAATCAAGAACATGATCGATCAAACTATCATCGTGGTTCCTATACATATCCATACACATACTGTGCACATGCATCTACGTAAAAAAAGCAAATACAAGTCTGCAAGGAATACCTGGCGCCGAAGATCAGCCTCTCTAAGTTTGGCGTCGATCTCCTCGGCGGAGACGGGGCTCTTCGGCTCGAGAAGACGACGGCGTAGCCTCCGTGGAAGAGTCTTAGGCGAAGAATTCGCTGCCACCGTCTCCTCCTCGTTCGCCGGAATAGACATGGCGATTCCTCCTCTCAATCGCTCCGCTTCCGACATTGATTTCATAAACGAACACAACCCACAATCGCGGATCACCAATCCCTCCAACGAATTAAGATTATTCACAAAATTTGTACAAAACGGAAGAGAAATCTCTCAATCGGAAAATTTTGTGGCAGTCGCAAGACGCTTTCGTGAAAGGCAGATCAGAAAATTTCGTCTTGAAGAAGAACGACGAGAGGCGTTTTAGTCGAACACGCGATTTCTGGAAATTTCCCAAATTGATCTTATCGCGAATCTAAAACGACGTCGTGTCGTCTACCGGTGGGCTTTATCCACAATTATGGGCTTTTATGCCCCTACTTGAGGCCCAAATTAAACGCGCGTTGACAACGCTTATCTCGGTGCCGTAAATTTGAATATAAAATTCGAACCACATAATTATTTTTAAAAAATAGAAATAATCGTAACATTATAAAATTTTAAAATGATGAATAATGTTAAATTAGTGCTGCCATAATTCAGTAGTTTTGCAATTCTGTCATATATAGATGACAATGTAGTTAGTGTTTTGTATTTGTGAAATGCTATTTACCCATTTAATATTAAAGTTCAAGCTTGACCTTGTAATTATTAGGCACCGTATGTACAATTACATAATACATTTCAAAAGGAACAACATTTAGATTCTCAGTTATTACGAACAAGTAAAGAAAAAATTGTATTCCTTTGTTTACAAATTTAGAATCCAAGCGTGGTAGATTTTCTTGCAATTGCAACCGCTTCAGACTGGATATTCGGAGCATCAATTAGATCTTCTTGGATCCATTCTTTTGTTTACATTTTTTATTTTAAAATATGCATTTATTAAAATTTTATATTAGATTTTGAAATAATTATATGTTGGTGAAAGTAAATGAAACAAAAAATGGGGTCAGACTTTTGTGTTGTTTTTCTTTTGCTTCTGTCAGATATATTCAATTTAGATGAAATTTAGTCAACGTGTTTCGTTGAATTCTTATTATAAATGATTTATAAATAGAGAAGAAAAAAAAGAATAGTAACAAATTATTTCTAATTCAAAAATAACCATTTTTAAACTAATATTGAAACGTTGAGCATGTTTAGGATTATTCTAATCATTAAAAATCATCTTAAATAAATTTTTAAGATTAGGTTTGGTTCGAATAAGATTATCATGAAATGTCTAATACCGAATATTATTCAAAATTGGTTGTAATCTAAAATGAAATATCTAACTTTACAATTTAGCATGCGTATGAGATTCGGAGCTTTTGCACCAGAATTCTTTTGTATTTTCCAAGAAATTTACTTTTTCAAATATCCAATAAATTTAATTTTAGAAAAATAATATTGCCTTTCCTTTTTGCTTTTTCCTTCTTTCCTCATTCCATGGTAACTTTCTTTCTCGCGAGGAATTTGTCCAAATCCAGAAAAAGGCTAAAAAGATCGTACAACTCTTTTATGATAAAACAAAAATCAATATCATAATTTCGTCAACCAAAAAAACATATCATAATTTCGCCCAACTATGATTACACTCTCCTCCCAATTTAAGATTCAAACTCGGACAACAGACGTTTCGTTTCCGTGGGACAGAACACACGTTAACCCTTATTATAAAGCTGCCGATAAAACCCTAATAATGATGCCAAAGATACCCAATCACAAGTCCATAATAAATTAAGCATAATCATCATTTAATCATAATAATCATAATCATAAGCATAATCATAATCATAATAATGATAATAATAATAGTAGGAACAAATAAAATCTCAGACCCTAACAACCCAAATCAAATCTCAGCCCGTACCAACACCGAGTTCAATTCAAAATACATAATAAATAAAATTGGAAGAAAGAACACTAAAAATTCCGAAAATAACAGAAAAAAAATTCCTACTGAGACTAAAACTATCCGATGGATCTCAGATCTACAGCAACAAAGAGGCGGCGACGGCCACTCCGAACAGAGATCCGGCGACAGCGACTCTACTCATGGAGGCAGCGTTCGGAGAGCCAGGACCTGCCGGTGTCTGAGCAGGTCCAGGATTAGCACCGGTGGGAGTAGAAGCACCGGGAGCTCCGGAGGGAGATACAGGAGGAGACGGAGGAGACGCCGTGGTTGGAGGAGTCGCCGGTGATTGACTCACCGGAGCGGGAGTGGGAGAAGCCTTGGGAGCTGCGGAAGGAGGAGGAGTGGAGGAGGGAGCCGGTGTTGCGGCTGTAGGGGCACGCGCCGGTGTAGGAGTGGCGGCGCGTGGTGTTCTGGTCGTCGGAGCCGGCGCCGGAGCCTGAGCGACGGCGGATGCGGCGATGAGGGCGAGGAGGAGAAAAGCGGCGACGGATTTGGGAGCCATGTCTCGGAGTTTTCGGGAAGACGCGGAGAAATATACGGCTTCTGATGGTAACAGGAGGACGAGGTGGGTATATATTGGAGTCCTCTCAGTAATTTCTTGGAAATTACGCCGATACAAATTTACTATAATTTTAAAACTAATCCATGATAATATGTTAATTTCAAGATTTAACTTGATTTTCTTGATAGTTTTATTTTTGCCCCAAAATTTTGAGATTTCCCTTGTATTCGTTACTTTCATCGACCGATCAGAAGTATAGCAATCTGTTAACAAAATAATAAAGAGTAAATGTTGCTAAAAAAATAGAGAGTGGATATATTAAGAATTAATCATTGTTAAAATTATTTTAGAAATTTACAAAATGTATGCAGAATTCATGATTTCTGAAAATAAGAAAAAGATTTTATCGATTAAACTATATTATAATGTTAAATTACTGTTTTTAATCATCCAATTTTTTTCTTTCATAATCACTAATCTTGGAAAAGGAAGAATGATTTTATATAATATTAATATACTACGATTCTAACAATATGACGAAAAAAACAGAATACATTAGTTTTGATTTTAGGGAAAACAACACTAATTTTTATAATATTATATAAATAAATTCCTAATAAAACACAATATTCGTATACATTTTTCTAACATATATCACAAAATGATACGTAAGTTTAAAAAATCAAAAGTTTATTTTTCAAAATGATAGACTTAACATATTCGTTGAAATAATAGTTTACAAAACAAAATAGCATGATATTCCTTACAATAAGAATACATGGCGCTTTAAGAATAGACTAGGGGGTTTGGAATTTGACAGAACAAAAACAATTAGGTGTCCAATAGATAAGAATGAGGAGTAGGAGGAGTGATCTGCACATTCTGCGAACACGCCGAAGAAATCCCATCTCAGCCGTACACGTGTACAAGAAACCCTAGAGAGAGGTGAGAGAAGATGTCAGCCGTGGGATGAAGCGGTGCGTATAAAAGTCTTTTAGTTGACCCAAACGACGCGCCGTTTCGGAAAGGATCCAGAGGAGTGGGCGGCGTCCCACCGCTGGCGCCGCGTGGACTTTTCCTCGAAAGAGTTTAGTTTTGTTTTGAATATTAACAAAAATTCCACCTTACCGTTATGATTATGATTACCACGTGGCTCCTCTCTTCTTTTTCCCCACAAACAATAATTGAATATCGAACTAATCAAACACTAATTCACCCAGGAAAATAATATTTTCAATATAAAATTTTTAAAATTCTAAATTGCTATAAAATTGTATTTATAAAAAATTATCGTCGCTTAACAGAGTGAACAATCCGTAGATACGGATCCACGGAATCATAGAATTCAAAATTCAATACAAGATCCGAGAGTCAAATATCCAAAAATGGGATAAATCAAATTTCAATATATCTAAAATTCAAAATTCGAATTCAAATTTAGATTGGATAATTATTCGTGGATATAGAATCATAGAAAAATAATTTTTATACATCTGAGATATTAGAAAGTGACAAAGATACGTAGCAACAATCTAATTATTTTTATGTTTTATTTTTAAAAAAAATTATCTTTTAATGATCTAATTATATTGGATATAAATATATCAATAATTTCATAAAACTAGTATATATATTTTAATAATATCTTTGAATATCTGAAGAAAGAGTTATTGGGACAAGGTGTGGCAACTAAAAGGCCTATTAAAACTTAAATTGGCCTGAAAAATGACGTATCGGGCTTACGAGGGCCCGTCGACAGTGCAATTGGGAAGACGAGACGAAAAACCCTTACCTGGATCTCTGGTTCTCTGATCATTGTTCTGCAGCGAGAGAGAAGACATCTTCCGGTATGGTCGTCCTTCTTCTTTGTTGTTCAAGTAAAAGTGGTCTTCCATTCGATTTCTTTGGTGCTTAATTGCGATTTTGACTGATTTTACGAAATTCTGGGCAGATCGATCGGCTCGAGTGAGGAACGAGGGAGCCGAAGATGCCGCTAGGGTTGATGTTGGGGATCGGAAGAACTTTTCGAAGGAAGCGGACGTCTTCTCTGGATATTCTCTCGTCGAAACGAGCACCGAGGGACTACTACAAGGGGAAGAACTGCAAGCCCACTGGTTTCCACACCAGAAAAGGTTCACATTTCCTGTTAATTTTTGTGATTGTTCTTCGTGTGGAATGATTTTGGTATATGCACAAACGCGATACCTTTTTAATCTCATTGTTTCTTCAGCTATAATCTTATGCAGTTTCACTTAAGTTGCATCATGTAAGCCTGCTTTGATCAAATGTTTTGTTCCTCTGGAAGTGGACAAGTTGCCCTAGTGTTTTTTTCTGCAAGCAATTGTGCTTCTTGGCCATTCCTTTGATACTGTATTCTGGAAAGAAGTAGTGGATGATGCCCATGTTTTTGAATTAGAGTTCTGTGCTGCTACCCCGATCCGGATTGGCTTAAGGTGATGCCGAATTCTGGATTTCTAGTCGAGGAACTATGTGACTGAGATTACGAATGCCTGAGGTGGACGAATGAAATGTATTGAGCTGTTCATTTGGTCGTGACGGCACTTATCTCCCTGAAATCATAGATATACTGCAATCCTTCTGTCCCTCTGCGCTAATGGAAAACATGTTTTGCTGCAGGAGGATATGTTATCCAGCCAGAGAAATTGCCAAACTATGTGGTACCTGATTTGACAGACTTCAAGGTGTGTATACATATTACAGTCTTTTGTCCAACTTTTTTTTAGTGTTAAAGAAATAGCAGAGTGAGCACATTAGTTAAAACATTTGGACAATCCCATGAGAAACCCAGTTGTAGTGTAATGTCTCACATGAACCGGTGTCTTTTGTATTCTTACAGGTTAGAACCCACCTTATATCTGTGATTGGATCGATATCAGAAAGTGTGCAGTTCGATATTCTTTCGTATGTTCTGTTTCTATCTCAGTTTTGCCTACGCTTTTCTATCTCCTTTTGTCTTTTCAGCTGAAACCGTATGTTTCTCAAGTCGCACGAGAAATCAAAACAGCCGAGTCCACTGAAACTTCCAAGTAAAACAACGGCGAGGAAAAGAACACGAAGATGCAGAAGGCAGGGAAGAGCACGTTACAGTCGTGTTCTTCCTGTGCAGTTTCTTGTTACAGTTGGAGGTATTTCTGTTCTAAAACTCTTATGTAGCCGCTGACAAATTTGATTTGTCAATTGCAATCGTCGAAATCCCGGAAAGGGTTTCTATTCATTCCTTCTGTCCCTACTCCTGAATTTGGTCGAATGGTTCTTGAAAATTATGGCTGTTTTTCTTGTGCTTTGTTTCGGGGTCGGATCCTTACTCGGCCTTAACCCTAATCCTTTTACTCATCTTGGCCGTAGTTCGCGGTCCCTTCACCATCTCGAAGCATCAATGTCTGCATTTTCTCTTCTTCTCATGTCTTCAACCCACGCGCTCTTGCTTGTGCACTTGACTTATTTAGGCCCAATAAAGGTTTTGTGGGCTTTCGGTCGATGCTATTGGGCCTTATTTTACTTTCCACATTTTTTTAAAAATTTTTGTTGAATTATCCACGTCATCAGAATCTCGTATTATTAGCGTTTACTAAAGAAAAAAAAACCCGCGAAATCTACATGACCCATATGATTGGAAACATTCGGATAACACAGAATCGGCAACTACCCTTCACGCGATCCACACAGAAGCTCTCTCTCTCTCTCTCTCTCTCTCTCTCTCTCTCTCTCTGTTACTGTAACAAAATCTGGGGGCAATGGGAGTTTCGTTCCTCGCCACAGTTCCTTCTTCTGTCAATGTAAACAATCCTCCACGTCTCATTCATACTTCTCCCCATCGCGCTGTAAGTGTATATAATCTCTATACATACGCATATAGTTTCTTCACTAGTACGTATGCATTGCATTGTTTTTCGCCGTAAAACATGCCCTACTTCTGGTACCCAGAAGCTTCCTATTTCGTGACATTTTATGCTATTGTTTTAACGATTCATACAATAAAGACTAATGGGTCTTTGTTTTTTGCTCTTGATTCTGGGAATGACATGATCATCAGGGTGTGAATGTTATACGATGCAGTAAGATCGGTGCCGACGATGTTCCTGGAGATAGTTTCGTCTTCCACCGGAGGGAAGCTCTCAAATTCGCCGGCACCGCCGTTGGAATGGTAACAGAACAGATTCCCCTTGTCGGCCATGAATTCCGATTTGAGGGGTTTCTGCTTAAAAGTTGCAAACCCTTTTCCAAAATGCTGACGAGTTTTGCTTAGAGGATTAGAGTCCGCTCCGTTTCTGTAATGTGATGACGAGCTCTATTGTTAGGAATTAATAGGAGGCTTCACCAATTTCGTGGGTAATGCAAATGCTGCAGATTTGATTCAGCGAAGACAGCGTTCGGAGCTCCAATGTAAGTTTATGAACTGATGTGATGTAACTGAGTTGTAAGTCATGACATTTGAAAGAAAAAAAAACCTAATTCCTGACTGTTTTTTCTTTTCTCCATGTTTTGTGCAGCAAAGATCAAGGAAACATTTTCAACTTCCCTAAAGGTAAGTTTGACTTGTAGAAGAATTTACTGAGAAATGGAAATTGCTTCCGTACTGTCCTTTTTTTTTGCTATCATTTTGCACGTATTTGATCCCATACTCGTGATTTTTCAGTTGTGGTAGTGTTTATCCTTGTTTCAGTTCTGGCCAGTGAAGTATCTTCCAGGCCTAACTGCACCATATATGCTTAGGTGATTGTTTGGTTATTCTGGGTATTGATTTTTAGGGTAAACCGGAGCTTGTACCTGCAGTGCTAACATTGGCCCTGAACGATGCCATGACGTATGATAAGGTCGGGTTGATTCCTCTACGATTTGGACACGACATGTTAATGGATAACCTAGTTCCTTTTTAAGGTTGTCTGGTGTTGCAGATCCCCAGCTTAAACTGATACTCTTTCTGTTAGCTTCTTTTGTAGGCCACAAAATCAGGGGGTCCCAACGGATCCATACGGTTAAGGTACTCGTTGCTCTCATCGTGTTTTCTCGTATAGAAAGAAGAAACTCATCGTGAAATCTAATCCGCTTGGGCTGGTTTGGTGGCAAATCATGTTTAGGATTTCATTCTCATCGGTTGTTGATGTGATTCATTGGGACAGAAGGCCGAGGTTTGCCATGATCCTTGGAAAAGTGGAAACACTTTTCAAGAATCTCGTGAATCAGTCGGAAGCCTAAACACGTAGTTTCCTCCGAACGTAGACAAGTCCGGTTTATAACCTGGTGAATTCTGCTGGATAAATCTCCAAATAAGATTTAGCCTAAGATCAAACAAACCAGTCTCTATAGTTCTAGGTGTTTAGTAGTCTTTTGTACGGTATCGAATTAGTTAAGATTGATTACTAGGAATCCATGTAAAAACCGAGATTAGTATCTCACCCGGGATAGTCTTGATCTTCATTCGTTTTTTTCGTTTTACGAAGCTCGGAGCTAAGCAGACCAGAGAACCAAGGGCTTTCTGCTGCCATGAGCCTGATAGAGGAGGCAAAGAAAGAGATAGACTCGTTTTCGAAGGGGGGACCTGTTTCCTATTCAGACCTCATCCAGTCTGCAGGTTTATATACACATCATATTCTGTCAATGAAAATTGAGTGTTGTGGACGTTAAATCCTTCTCGGTCTTAACTGTTTAGCACAAGCTGCAATCAAGTCTACATTTCTAGCGTCGGCTATCAGAAAATGCGGTGGAAATGAAGAAAAAGGGAACATACTATACACGGCATATGGTTCAACTGGCCAGGTACATTGTGTATTCTAACAATATTCTCAAATGAGTTGTGTTTTCTTCAAAGTAGTAGTTGTGTCCTCAGTACTGTCACTAGTACTTTGTTTTTCTATTTTGGCATAGGAAACTGTTTTTGTGTTCATGATCTTGTTATCTTTGAGTTGGAAGGCTTTTTTATCTTTCTTTGTTAACGTTTTGTTCTGATTTCAATTAGAGATTTGAGGATTGTGTGTGGTGTGAATCTGCAGTGGGGTTTGTTTGATAGGCAACTCGGAAGGAGTGATGCGACGGAGCCAGATCCTGAAGGCAGGATCCCGCAATGGGACAAAGCATCTGTTCAAGAAATGAAAGACAAGTTCGTCTCCGTTGGATTAGGCCCTCGCCAGGTAAATCTCTATGGTTTTGGATAGCAATTAGGGACGGGTGGGAACCTGGAATTTCGAGTACCTGATCCGATCCTTGAGTCGGGTTTTCTGAAATTTCGGGTTACATATCCTCTCTCTCTTTTCTCGCCCTGTCCTCCTCAGTTCTCCGTCCACCCTCTCTTTCCTTGCCCCACCTCAGCCTCTCGCCCTCGCCGTCCGAATACCTGAACATTTGGAACACTCCATTGGTAACCAAAACTCGGGTACCGACTCTCACAATATCGATCGAGATCAGGTAGCTGGACCAAGAAACTCAAGCCTTTGAGACCGAAGTCGGTTACACGAGAAAACTCGGATATCCAATCTCTGCTCAGACCTAACAAACAAAATACATTGTCCTGTTATCATGAGATATGAACTCAGCTTTAGATAAGGGTGTTGTCTGTCAGTTACAAAGTGTGACCATAACTGTTCTTCTTATTGTCTAGTTAGCTGTGATGTCTGCATTCTTGGGTCCGGATCAAGCCGCGACGGAATCTCTGTTAGCAACCGATCCACAGGTCGCTCCGTGGGTTCAGAAGTACCAACGAAGCCGCGAAACCGTCTCCCAGACGGACTACGAGGTTTTTTCTCCACTTGTTCTTTCTGTCTTAACAACCTGTGCTATCAAGACTCCTTTCAGAGTTCAGAGCTTCTGCCTTTCACAGGTCGATCTGATCACGGCACTGACGAAGCTAAGCTCTCTCGGACAGAAAATCAATTACGAGGCGTATTCGTATCCCGTCGAGCGTGTCGACTTCAGGAAACTCAAGCTTTGAATCCTTACGTTTCATCACGCGGAAGAACGAATCCCATCTCTTCCATGTTATGTTCGGCTACAAATGTAAAGTATATTCGTCACCTGAGGAAATGATAAACCATCGAGAAGATCTACTGCTCAAATATCTTCAAGAAAAAATCCGAATGTTTAAAAGATGAACTTAAGTAACACTTAAAAAAGTGGTTTAATGATAATTAATCTACGACACGTGGCGCCCACACGCCTGCCCTGTACATCATGAAGACAAAAGATCCAAAGACATGTCAGTGTTCCACTATGTGGACCCACCTAACCAATGTACCACTTAAGACCCGCAAACGGAGCGGTTGCGATTCTCGGTGGTTGCGGACGATTGAAAAACTGACTGGTTGAATCGCAACCAACCGCAACCGCAACCAAACTTGTGTTTTCTAATCGCAGTTTCTAACTTGCGTTTTGGTAGCGGTTTCCGGCGTTTTGACAAAAAAACTAAAATATTTTTATTAGAAATTATATAAAACATTAATATATATATTGGTGATGATTTTGTTTAGTGTTATGATTTGATATTATTTTTTAGTATTATATTTTAATAAAAAAATACAATAGTATAATTTTTAGGTTTAATAATGATTATTTTTAATAATTTTTATAATAAAATTATTTTTTTATTTAAAAATAAATTAAATTGATAATATTTATATTTTAAATTTATTATTTAATTATTATAAATTTAGTAAATAATTTTTATCAAATGATACAAAAAATTTAATTAAAACTATTATAAAAAAAAATTTTAAATAATATTTTTTTTTACAATTTATATCAAAACGCAACCGCAACCGTATTATCGCTACGAATAGCAACTTTTCAACCAGTCAGTACTAATCATTTATAATCGCTATCAAACGTTCTGAAAACGCTGACAACCGCAACCGTAACCGCTGCGGTACAACCAGTCGAACCCAAAGAGTACGGTAACATACATACATTCACCAGAGACCAAACTTTCCAGCCATATTGTCTTACATTACCATTATGGAACTGACATGAAATCAAACCCAATCTGATTGCTTATTGTTAGTAATGGAAATAATAAGATAAGGGTCTGTCCACACATTGTTTAACGTTACATTTACGTAGTTGTATACTTAATTCGAACATGCCAACCTTATCTTATAACTTGAACCATATGTAGAGAAGTATACATGCATGCCATTCACACATCACCACATCATATGGTGTTGATAGATTACTAGTCTATGCATATGTACACCTCCAGATGAAGACAACTGAATTGGAATCTAAATAAAGAAAGGAATCCAAGACATGAGGCGTCATTTCAAATCAATGGGAAGACGCAAACAGCACCAACAATGGCAGCCAAGTTTAAAACATCTCTCTCTCTCTCTCTCTCTCTCTATATATATATATATATATATATGACATCAGGCAGGCCCCCTTCAACTTTGAACACATTAGGAATTCCCATGAATCTGCAGAAAGAAGCTGCGATCTTGGAAAGGCATATACATGCTTATAGGCCAAAGATCATAATATGTGATAAGATTAGAATTTAAAACATGTAAGGTATTTACCATGTAACTTCAGCTTATATTCAAGCACAACCATAGATCATGACACAATAAGAGAGTGTAAATACTAGAGAAAGCAGCCTTAGGCAAACGACTAGCAATAGACAGAGCTCAAACAAGACCTGGTCATGGAGATTGCGGCCAGAGGTCGGGCTCGAAGTCCGTGTTTAATCCCGCGTAAAACCCGTCATCCCATCCGAAATCAAACTCGTCTTCGTAAAACTCACCCATTTCGCCGTCAAGAAACTCCCAAGCCAAGTATTCAGACTCGTCTGAATCCGAGCAGACCTCCATATCTTTCATAATCTCATAAAACCCCATCACGCTGGGACCAAACACCTTCAGATCTGGAAACTTTTCCTCGAAGAACTTGCTGTCAAGTTGCACGTCCCAACAGCCTCTTAGTTCCAAGAACTCGAGGCAAGGGCAGCTGGACAGAATCTTGAGTACTCCTTCCGTGCTGACTCGGAGGTATGCGATTTCTAGGCGCCTGAGCTTTGGCATCGAGCTGGCAATTGCATAAGCTTCATCATCGTGAGAGCTGACACTTGCTAGGACGTCTAACGGGTGCATGTTTCTGCAGAACTCTACAAGAGATTTACAGTGTTTTCCAATGGCTTCTATCGCCCGGGAACCTAGTTTGCAGCAGTAACTCAAGTCCAAGAAAGTGAGAGCTGAAAGCTTTTCGGCTACCTCTTCCACGATCAAATCGCTCAGATCACTTCTTGGTACCCTCAAGATTTTAAGTGAACAAGCACTAACAAAAAACAGACAGGAAAACATCAGACACATCAAAAACCAAGAACGAACCTACAGCTTCGACACAGTTCCTCAGTCTTACCATAATGCATCTTATGAGATTAGAAACCTCTTGAAAGAAATAGCCGCTCAAACAAGAACCCTATAACCTGAACCGGATGAACCTAAAACCGATTGAAGCTTCTTGACTCAAGCCACATAAAACTATGAACTTTAAACTTTTGCTCAAGATTACATATCAGATACCGTTCATCACACAAGGAACTCGAGAAACATGAATCGAATGAATCATTAAACTTACTGCTGTGCAATGAAGGAGAAGATGGAGTCGTTTTGGAGGCCAGTGACTGCGAGCTTGCGGAAAGAACCAGAGCTCCGAGTGATCAACATTTGAAGCATTCGATCGAGGAGATGGGGCTCGTGGCAGCGATTACTCCAGAGCTCAATGTCAATCTCTTGCCAGCAATAAGGTCCTGTCACTGCTCGGTTCCATGCTTTGCAAACCCTTGGGACAACAGTGAGAACCTCTTCAAGGGGCAAGTGCCCAAAGATTAAGCCAAGGGCATCTGGGATTAACTCGTCCCAGTGTCGGAACTCTGTTTCGTCTCCCATACAGTGAGAGAGAGAGAGAGAGAGAGAGAGAGAGAGACAGAGAGATCTGTTTCACACGATCAAAGCAGAAAATGAATGATTAGTAGAGATGATTCGGCATAAAAGAGTCCAAGTAACAGAAAGGCTGAAGGTTTATCATCAAGGGAATGCAATGGGGAACCCAACAACAAGAACCAAAATCTGAGAAAATATCATTTCTTCATAAAAAAACTCAAAGATCAAACAAACCCAGATGAGCAAGCATGCTCAAGAAAGGGTGGAGAAAACCACGGAACGGTAAGCCAAAATCGAAACAGCAGTAAGGACAAACGAGCTTATACGCATGGAAACAACAACAGCAACACGGCAAAACTGAAACAAAGATTCCTTGTAAAAGTTCAACGATGAAGAAGAAGAAAACAACAAAGACAAGACAGTGCTAATGCTACCTTCTTTGCTCAACAGCCTCCCGCTGGGATAGGGCCAGAAAAAGTAGATCTGAAAAGATCCAGAAAGAAAACCTCGAAATCAGAGGGTTTTAAGTTAAACCCAGTGGAAACACAAGTATTGGAAGGAAGACACTTTAACCCGGAAACCAAAAACAAATAATAGCAACACAAGATTAAAAAAAAAAAAGAATTCTTTTTCCCTCTGCAAATCTCTATTGCCAGAAGCTTTCTTCTCTGAGTCGAGGATTCCCAGGAGGGTCACCGTTTTATCCGCCAACAAAACCTGGGTAAATGAAGGAACGAGACACAGAGAGACACACACAGAGAGAGAGAGAGAGAGAGAGAGAGAGAGAGAGAGAGATGGGAATAGAGCAATCCCCCACCAAGCCACACACACAAGCATCAGTTACAAACCCAATTTCCTAAAAATCTTAAGGCTCTTATCATTCACACATACAGAAATATAACAAGAATTCCAATAAATTACCCCCCAATTGAAGAAGGACTAGAAACAGGTTTCCCCTATTTTAATGCATGCCAAAAAGAGTAAAAGAAAAAAGAAAAAAAAAGGGCTTTCCATTTACACGATCCCGTATCCCATATGACCCAACCCTGAACAAAAACGAAAGACCTTTTCCTTTGGGAATGGGTACCGCGGAAAACGGGTATAAAGACTGCGACTGTGGAGAAATTGTACTGAGTGAGCGGGGAGATTACCGACACGTGGCGGTGAGTTCCTGACAGGTGATATTTAAATTGAATGGGGCCCACGAAATGTCGACTGTCCCAACCGAATCTTCTGCCTGATAAAGAAGCTTCAGAGGAGAACGAGACGCTACCAAATTTACATGCACTGAAAAGCGTACGATGGGGCACCAAATGAATCAGCGTCCCATGGTTCATATGTTGTTCGAATAAAAAATTAATATGATATGGCCCCGAATGATAACGACCGTGCTTACCAATTACGGCTGGTAGAAAATCTTTGACGGTTACATATATGTAAGATTCAAACTTAACCGAATTTCCGACAACGCTTGTAACTTCACCAAGCGCAGAAAACAAAACAAATCCGACAAAAGCCACCGCGTTGTCACCAACCACTGCCGCTGAAAAAACCCGAAACGCAGCGGTCAATATGAAAACGCTGCTGCGAAACCCGAACCGCTAATTCTCTAAGAGGAAGAGGAAAGCATCGAAGACCAATTCAAAGTTGCCAAACAAAAGGGCTAAGTGGCAAGTACATTAAACATAACACAGTAAAAAAAGCCCTAGTATCTCATTGCAGCACCAAGAATCCGACCTACTCAAAACTCAGATGACTCGATATGGTCCAGAGCAGTGCCATTCTTGGTATATCCCTTTCAGTCAAAACCCGAGCAAGTAACCAGAGGGGAAAAATGTAGCCCGGCCTCGGGAATTTCGGTGGTGCTAGATCACTCTTCCCTGAAAATGAAGATTTGAATAATTATGTGAAGCCCTGAGGAATGAAGCATCATTAGTCTTTCAAGCATAGAACCAATTTATATGATACTCTGTAAAACTAGATATGTTGGTTAACAGTAGCGATCATCAGATTTGCTTGTCTCAGCCTAGATTTACAGTCATCAAGAAAGCGTTACCCGTGGTATCATGATGTAGCAGATTAACAGAACGGGAAGCAAATGGTTAGAGGGACACTTACAGAACGATATCTAAGGGTATCAGGTAAACTTCATTTAAGTTCAAGGGAAGAACAAGTTCAATGTCTGGAAAATTTCTGCGCTACTCAGCCTGTTGTTTCGCTCAGATTACTGCATGCTGGTGAGCTACTTATCTTGAATCTAAATCACCAGGAGCAGTCGATAAACCACAAAAATGAAGGGCCATGCTAACCAATCCTGTGGGCTATGCAGTTCAGTCCATGATCCATTGCAGCCTTTCAAGTATTTTCGTCTAATAAGATAATCAGCACAATCGATTCAAAAGCGAGAGCTAGAGATCCTAAATCATCTATGACGTCAGTATATTCTTGGGGTTTCGCTGAAAATGATCACTCATAAGAAGAGCTAAACTTAGAGATAAAATCCCACATGAAGACAAATCAAATTCAGCCCACAAGACAAATCAAACTTAGAGATAATCTAGCTAATATGATCAGCTACAATCACACTGAAGAAATGAGAAGCTACAGTTTCCAACAGGAGAGAGTAGAATCGTACCATTTGATGAGCCAGCCGAAGAGAAAATGCTGCATAATGGGGACCTTTTCGAGAACCTCGGCTTTGTACATCTTGAGCAATCCACTGTTCACCTTCTTCCAGTTCGGCACGCCGCTGATATCGTCCAACAACGGCGAGTGCTCAGCGAACAACCCCTTCTTTACCTTCTTCACAAAGGCAATGCCAGCCAGATACATGTATTCATTCGAGAAATTCTCCAGAATGTCATCGTTATGGATTGATTTCGGCTTCATATACTTGTGATCAATCAATTGGGAGCTCCCGAATATGAAGGGCAAGAAGTGGTAATCATCAAGCCCCCATACTCCGTGCGATCCAGCAGGTTCTAAGCTGTAAACCATCTGCAATTTCCGCATCAATTCCAGGTACTTGACGAAAACCCTAGCCACCACAGCATGATAATCCTCTTCTTTGATGATCCCCATCCTCGCCAAGCAATACAACCACGCCGCGAAATTCGTCTCATGCCCAGTTCCGTAATCGATCCTGCTCGCGTTCCCGAAGCTATCGGCGAAGTACGGAACGATCTCGATTGTCGATCCTTTGAACTCTTCAGGGAGAAACCCAAGCATCAGTGACTCACCCTTCTCTTCGAGCCGCTCGTGCCATGTGCGATACGAGACGTTTCCGTATCGCGATGACTGTTGAGCCGGAGGAATCTCGTCGATCCACTGCATCGTGGTCTCTAGGATGGAGACGATAGTGGCGACGGTCCGGGACACGTGGCACGGATCCGATATCTTGTGGCCACGGATCGATTCCGACAGAGCAACAACGAACCCTAGGAAGTTCTTACCGGAAGTGGATTCATGGAAGCGTCGGATATCGTCTGGTGAGTGAATCCTCTTCACGGGACACTCGAAGTTATACGGCAGTGAGACGCCCGAAACTTTCTCAGCGTGAGGAACCGGAGCAAGGATAATCGCCTGGGAATTGTTCGGCGGGAGATTAATCGCCGGAGCCCGGATCGGCCGGTAAACCGGCGGTGGCGACATATCCGGCCATGATGTCGGCGGTTGCGGCGCGTCAGCAGTTGGTCCGCCGCAGTTAACACAGCATCCGATTGGAGGAGAGACGAAGGTCACCGGCGACGGATCGTCGGAGGAAGATTTCTCCGGCGTGTGCTGACCCTTCGGCGGTTCCATTCCGTAGTTACAGAGGTACAAGTCGAAGAACACCGAATTTCAGGGGAATTGGAAATAAATATTGATCAGTCGTTAGCCTACGTGGCAATTTGTACACCGTCGATTCTCAGCTCGAAAGGTATATCGACACATGACATGAATTTAATACAAACCAGGCCGACTTTCCTCCCATGCGATTGCGGTTCATTTTCTTTCTGTCCCAATACCCGAACCGAAATTAAGATTTATTTGAATTTAAAAATAAATACTATTAAATCCGAAATCGAACGAAGAAAAATAACGAAATGCGCAGTTATTCACCCAAATTAAGTATTTTTACTTAAAGGGATATATGCCTTTAATAGTAATTTTATATTAGGTCATTCAGCCAAAGGCCCAAATGTGATATATAAATAAGTTTTAGGCTTATTAGGCCCAACCCACTAAAGCCCAAATGTATACATTAAATTTGAATTAGGACAAATAACAAATGTAAGTGAAAATTAAAATGAATATATATATATATATATCGAATAACCTTTAATTAAAGAAAATACCAATTGATTTTAGAAAAGTAGTTAAGGAAATGATTGCGTGTGCTTCCATAATCAATAACACTTGAACTCTTTTTATTGTTATTAAGTGATGTTGGTTTTAGTAATCAATGTACCATTATCCCCCAAAAAAAAAAAGCAAAGTTAAAAACATGATTTCAATTAAAGTTATTGATTGATCATTACATATTTTTAATTTCTTGAAAATTTTCATAACCATTTTCCCAAATAATTATAATAAAAAAATACTTTGTTTTGTGTTTTGTAGGCCAAACAGGATTTTAAACAAATTTTTTATTACTAAACTATGGAACAAAAAGAATAACCAATAAAAGAATATAGATATATATCTCTCTCCCACTCTTCACGATTCAAGTTTATGGTAATAATGTAGAAAGAAAAACTTCAGCTCTGCAAAATGTCCCATCTCCCTCAGACCAGAGTAGAACAAGTAGATGTTTCCGGGTCAAACAGAGCCGGGAGCAAGAACTTCCTGCCGTTTGCACCGTGAGCATTGAAACTGCCTCCCGTCTCTGAATCGACCAGCAAGCTCCCCGCGTAACCAGGATAAGCCCCTCTTCCGTACACTCCCGGACAAGCCGACGCCGCCTCAAGCGGCGCCGTTTTAGGGCCCTGAAAGTACCCATCTCCGAACGGGTTCGTGGCGGTTCCAGCCAAAAGGCTAGCCAGATTGATGATCACTCCGTCGATGCCCACGTCATTGTTCGGCGCAACCAGCGGCGGGTTCTGTGGTCCGTACACCGGCGCATGGAACGGCCACGCGCACTGACCCGGGCATTGAGTCTCCGAGTTCCCGACCCAGATGTACGCGAACTTTGACCTCCTTGAAGACGTACCCGACCCGTGCGACCCGCACCGGTTGACACAGAAACCGGTGACCGCCACGTCAGCTGCGGTTAAGACGACGTTGACCGCGTAGTTCTGACCGCCCTTCCCTGCCAAGGCCTTGATGTGTTTCTCCGAGAGTGACTTCCCCATGGAATATTCCTCGTCAAGGATCTGTTTTCCGAGGGAGAGGGAGAGGAGTCGGCTCTTGCTGACGTGGTAGTAATTCTCCACTGTCTTCCACCACGTGGCAACAGATGGTTGGACCGTCATCTTCGTCCGGTGAGAAGCAAGCGACGCTATAAAGTCCGTGATGATGGCTCGCTGCGACGGCCTGAACTTGCCGTACCAGATGAGGTTGACGGAGACATCTCCGGTGAGAAGAGCTCCTTTGTGATACCGAAACGACAGCGTTTCGTCCGAATCCGACACTACTGTCCTTGCGTCCAAACACTGGAACACAAGACCGAACAAGAAGAACAAGAACCCGATCTTGAAACCCAACAAAAAAGACCCCATTTTTCAGACTTAAAACCAATAAAACAGAGAAACCCAGATGCAAAGGAAAAACCCTAGAAGCTGATGATGATGAAGAAGAAGAAGAAGACTCGAGTTGTTGAGATGTGTCTGAGACTGTGAGTTCAAAGAGATATATATAGTGGAGGAAGGGAAGGGTAAAATGGGAATTAAATGGATGCTGACCATCGGATGCCAGCGTGGCAATAGCGCGTTGGATGAAAAGGTTAAAAAGAAAACAGGGGCAAGACAGCTAAGGTAGGAAAGAGGACAAAAGACAAAACCCAAAACAGGGGATGAGTGCAAAAAAGTCAGTGAGGTTCGGTCGGTCCATTTATTTAAATTTAAATTCTAAAATTGTTATATAACTGAATTATATTTATTATTGGAGCAGATGAAATTAGATTACAGCTGGTGGTGGATGTGGAAGTGCCGAATTTATGCGGCCAAGGGTATGAATTTCATGCCAATATTAGCATTATGATAACAAAATTTTCCAATTATGGGTTTTCTCGATTGAAAATTTGAAACATCAGTGACTGACAATAAAACAATTCTTTGCCACATAATATACGTTTATATATATTGGACAGATATGCATACACTGGTATATTTAACATTGGTGATAATGTTCGGATAAAAATAAAGCTTTCTAAGCATTAAACTTTTCCAACTCCAATCCATCCAATGTTTTTTCTTTCTCCAAATACAATACTTTACACTACGACTATTCTATTTATTAATCATAATTATTACTACCACTATTATTATCAATGTCATACCATGTGAAGGTGAATTATTATTTATTTATTTTTTTTAGAAATGAAAAAACATTCCACGATAAGCGTGTGAAAAGGAAACCGTCCCTAGTGCCGACCGCCATGACGTTGCTTACATTGCGATCAAATCTATGCACCCATTCAAGGGAACGTGTTTCTCACGTGACCAGCTCCAGTCTCGAGCCAATCCACCCACATCTCTTGTGAGCTCCAATTAAATAAAAAGAAAAAATGCACCATTTTTTATATATTTTTTGTTAATTTCTAGGACCAATCTGGCTTTTGGTCCTTAGGATTCGGACACTTCGCAATTCGCATATATGTATATTATAATCTGTTCATGTTTATCCATTTCTTAGACCCATATTCGTTCTTTTTATTCTCAACGGGTAAATATTTTCCGTCTTCATTAGATTTTTTTATTTAATTCTTGTCATAAAAAATTATATCTTCGTTGATAGTATTCCACATTAATTTCAAGTTAATTCAAATTTAATTTCGATTTATATTTTCACTAATGAAGTCATCTTATTTTGAGTTTTATATTTTATATTTAATTTTTATTTATAAATCGTATTTAACAATTTTTAACTGGATTGGATTGGGTAACATTGTAACAATTACAATAGGGACACAGACACTATTCGGCTCTTTTCGGCTTACTTTTTTAAATTTCGAATCAAAATGTTTAACCTATTTACTCTTACTCGTTATTTAAATTAACATTTAAAAGATCTTTTTTTTATTTATTTGCAGGACCTTGTGCGTAGCTTGTATCTGGAATTTTGTATGCATGATATGTCAATGACTCTAATTTTTAGCTATGGAATATTGTATCTTAATAAACGCTTACTAACATAAAATCGGAATTTCCCATCAATCGGAAACTAAATGTGCGCAGTTTCACTGAATTAAAAGTGCAATTGCGTATGTTCCCACTTATGTAATTGCTAATTATTAACATTTTCTAACGATTTTAAAAATGAAAATATTATTAACGAATCAAAGAATTACACATTACACTGATTATTTCTACCGTAGACTGTTACATTAAGGTTTTTTTTTTTAAATTTATTTGCCTATTTCTCCATCTTAGACCAGAGTAGAACAACCGGACGTCGTTGGGTCATACAGCGCTGGGAGCAGGAACTTCCTGCCGTTTGCACCGTGAGCATTGAAACTGCCTCCCGTTTCTGAATCCACCAGCAAGTTACCGGCGTAACCAGGGTAGGCCCCTTTTCCGTACACTCCCGGACAAGCAGACGCCGCCTCAAGCGGTGCCGTTTTGGGGCCCTGAAAGTACCCATCTCCGAACGGGTTCGTGGCGGTTCCCGCCAAAAGGCTGGCCAGATTGATCACCACCCCGTCGAGGCCTACGTCGTTGTTCGGCGCAACCAACGGCGGGTTCTGGGGACCGTACACCGGAGCGTGGAACGGCCACGCGCACTGACCCGGGCACTGAGTCTCCGAGTTACCGACCCAGATGTACGCGAACTTGGAGCTCCGTCTGCCTTTCACGGGTCGACCCAAAGCCGATCCGTGGGACCCGCATTTGCTCATACAGAAGCCTTGGACCGCCACGTCAGCGGAGGTCAAAACGACATTGACCGCATTGTGTTGGTCGCCTCTGTAGGCGAGCTCGAGGATCTGTTTCTCGGACAGCGACTTCCCCAGAGAGCAGCTCTCGTCGAGGATCTGTCTTCCCAGTGACAGAGACAACGACGGAAACGGGTTCTTCCTGCCGCCGGCGAGTCTGTAGTAGCTCTCGGTTGTCTTCCACCACGTGGCGACAGATGGTTGGCCAGTTTTGGCGGGAGAATGCGAGAGGGAAGTGATGAAATCGGAGACGATGGCTTTCTGAGAAGGCTTGAACTTTCCGTACCATATGAGGTTAACGGAGATCTTGCCGGAGAGAAGAGAGCCTTTGTGGTATTTCAGAAACTGGAACTGCTCCGCCTCTTCCAGTCTGCGACCAGAGACAGAGATTTGGAACAGAGACAGGAACAAAATGAGCTTAACAAGGAAAGATTCCATCTTTTCTCTGAAAAACTTTGATCTTTCAAGAAAAAAAAAATAATTTTTTTTTCAAGAGGGCTGAGAGAGAAGAAGCTGAGGAAGCTTGCTTGATGATGTGTTTTGGTTTTGGATATTGGTGTGGGATAAGAATGTGATGGGGGCATATATATATATGCACACACGCCTTTGAAGTGGATTACTTTATATTATTGCCACCTGCGAATAAAATCGAAATATAATATTTATTAAAAAAATATATAATCACAATAATAGACTTTAACTTTAAAGAGGAAAGAGGAAGGTAAAAGGGTCATGGGATTTGGCAACGGACTAGTTGTACCTTTGCGTGCCAGCTACTGAACCGTGTCTTCAATTCACATATGGTGTTGCGTTCGGCATTAATCAAATGAATTTGTTTGTGTAACATTTAACCTATACTTTTTTTTTATGAAAAAACATGTAACATATAATTTGTTTGTATTATATTCGCATTACCATTTTTGTTTACATAACTTTAAAATTGGATGGCAAACTTCAAAAAAACTGTTGGGAATTTTAAAAATACAATAAAATTATGAAAAAGAAAAAGAGAGGAATCAAATTTTGACCGTACTATGATAAAAAAGGAGAGTGTTTGTACAGCCTAGATACAGCCTTATAGGATTGGCCGGTGAGCACTGAAAAGACAGAAATACCCTTGCGTAGGCATGTTTGCAGGTATGGGCAATTTCGGAGAATGCGAGGGAGAGAGACGTTGAGGTAGGACAGGCTGGTATATTTTTTTATAAATTTTTGAAAAAATAATTAAATATGTGGAGGCAAGTGGGAAGTAGTTTCCAGCTGGCAGATAGCTATTGGGCGAGGCAGTATCCAAGGTGAGTCACGGCACGTGATCCTCCCACGCGCCTACTCGCGAAGCTCGTGAAGCTTGCGCGGTAGTAGTACTACATTAGCTGGAGCAGAGCTTGCTCACCGTGTTGGTCGAAGCGACGTCGTTTCTCATTATCTCCCTTTATAAAGTATTTTGTTTTTTCATTTTTTTTTTCTCTTTAAATAACATTTTAAAATCAGTTAATCTATCCAATCATATCATAGCGTAGTAAAGCACAACATGTTCAGTATCCTAAACAATATTTAAGCAATATCTAATTTATGAAAAATTATGTATATTAAAGCCATTTGATTTAATCAAACTCATTCTTTCACTTTAAACTATGAATCCAAAATAGAAATTTCGAGTTTCGATGTTGGATGTAGAAATATTTATATCGACCTGTTACATAGAATAAACATTAATCGGAAAATCAAATTTAAGAATATGTTAATAATTTCAGCGAAAATTACAGATTGACGCACTTATTGAAATTTTACCTATAACAATATCTACATTAAAATGTCTTTTCCATTCACCGGTTAGATTTTACCAATCTGATAATATCATTTTATTTTAATATATATATATATATATATATATGTCTGTGTGTGTACTTCTTTTATGCGAATTTTACTCAAATATAACTCCCACGCTAGTGTTGAAATCTATTTTTCTCCTTCACCCAAAAGATTTTGTGTATTCGTTAATGGCAGTTGTAAATTATGTTAGATTTTGTAATGTATTCCCAAAAATACAAAAAATTATTATAAGCAGACGAGTACATGATGCCAAAAAAAAAGCATAAAATTACAGCAGGCAATAGTTAATGGCAGACATGGACATTGATATTGAGGTATGGATGATTAAATCAGTCCGAATAAAATTATTAAAAAAAAAAAGTATGGAACTTTTATAAAACCCCATGGATATATTTTTTTAACAAAATAATTCCATTAGTGGGTTTTTTATTGAATAGAAATAAATAACCATATGAATGCTATATATATATATATATATATATATATAAAGAGGTGAAAAAAGTGTAGAGGTAACATCGCATGCTGACATTTTATTTAGTTATTATATATAAAACCAATCCCGATACGATATATTTATTTTCAGATTATTGAATTCAATTTAAAAATATTGTTTTTAAATTAAATTAAATAATTTCGAGTATAATCAGACCATAAAATTTTAAAACATTAAAAACTAAAATATTTAAATTTGAATTGGATGTAAAAGTTTCCCGGAATATAACTGATATAAAATAGAGAAATATAATTAATAATTCGGAAACAACCACAAACCCACATCTGAATTATGACTTTGGAAGGATTTTTCATTACTTACAAAAAAAAATCGTGTTTTTTTATAATTTCAATATGTTTTTTTATTCATTTAGTTATTATAATCATAACATATTTTAAAATAAACGGATACAAGACCCTAAATCCCCGAAATTTACAAACTCTTAACAAAAAAAAAATATAAAACATGTAAACAGTTGGTGCGTGTCCGTGTCGTATGGCGGAAGACGCCCCAATGCATCGTTGCTTTGTTTCACGTCCTGCAGACAATAGATGCCCATAATAACTAATTAAAAATTCAATCTATATCTATTTTGCACTTTATTAATTTTGTACAAAATCAGTATTTAAGTTGAATTTGAATAAAATATAGTAAATTTATTCTTTGTTTAATTCGATTCCATTTTATACCTTTGAATCGAAGTATATGTAATTTATGTAATTTTGAGTCTATGTGGAGATATACACTATTTCAAACCAGTTGTTAGAGAATATAATAATTGATATTTTTATTTTATTTAAAAAACTCCTTATTTTTTATATATATAAAAAACAAGTCGATTCTTTTTGTCTGGATTCAGTGAAACCTTTGTAGCTGTCTCTGTCTCTGTCCCTCGTCGGAAGTTAGAGGAAGAGTATATTGAAAGTTGAAACGAGGGAAAAAAAACTTTAATACATATTGTAGGAAAAATATATTTTTTTCATTTAAATTTGTAATTTAGCTAATTAAATTAATTACAGAGAAATCGTGTAATTTTAAATGGAATACTCAAATGCTTCCATATCATTTTCTCATTGTGCAGTCATTGTATCCATTTAATAAATAATCATATGTAACATATAATTTTCAATGTCATAATAAAATCACACATATATATATATATATATATAATAAATTCCAAATTGAAAAGACTTTAATTAGGATATATAGAAGTTGAAGATGTTATATAGATATACCTTTGCCATTCACAAGAAAAAGAAAAGAAAAAGGCATGGAAATAAGAAATATTGGTGGAGATAGATGGATGATAATAGGGAAAAATAGATATTTAAACGTAAACAAATAAAAAATTGAATTCTATATATTATAGTTCAATGAATATTAAGATCACGCATGGTTTTATATATATATATATATATATATATATTATCTTTTTCCTGGGAATATTCAAATGGCTACACGACTCCATCGCACGAAGACAAATACCACCAAAATGAAAGAAAATATTAATTTCTCTAAGTTCATGCACCATTTTCTGTATCTATAATATTTAAATATACATACACATATTCATATTCATAAGCATATAGTGGAATCCCATGCTGTTGAAGTGCATTGTACGGTAATTTTTTTACAACGAAAATCTTGAACATAGAACAATTGGACCACACTCCATCCCATCCCCTTGGAAAGATTAATCTGTTATTTATATACATATATATAATCAAAATTGATTGCCAATGTGTAGTTTTTTCAGATCAATAGTTGCTCTACCAAGTTCATTCAGGCATGTCACAATTCTCCATCTAGCCTCGGATTTATTATGTTCTTCGTTTCCACCTCTCCAAATCACCTGTTATGTCACATTTGCTTGGATGAAACAATATGTTACCAAAAAAAATGTAATCTCCTCATTTGGACATAATTTCGCAATTGATCAAATTTACTATTTTTTAGTCAAAAAACTTCCTTTTCTTATTATTTTTGCTATTGATATTTTCATTTTATTGCCAATTAGTTTTTTGGGTGAGCAATCTTCACAAATTTTTCAATTTTTAAGAACAAATATTTTTCTTATATTTTGAGCATCAACATTGTCCCTACTTATATTTTTTATCTGATTATACACTATAATTTTAAACAAATATTCATGAAATTTTTATTATAATTGTTTCTAATTGTCGCTGGATTATTTGTAATTTGATGCATAAATTTATTTTGGCACATTTTACGTATTGCCCCAAAATTATTTCGAATGAAAAATAAAACTGGAAAGATATCATAAATATAAAGTTGATATATGTAAATATTTCGTTTGAATGCGATCGAGTAAGTTTTAGATTAAATGCATTAATGTGGTCTTGTTGGGTTTTGCATCAAATGCATTTAATTTGCGATTTCTATTGTTCCAATTTGATGCGTCGGTCATATAAAAAGTAATCAATCGGTGCTTTGATTAATCCGGTTTAACGGCTATATGTTATGAAACTTTGTCTAAAAATATTCACATTTTCATTACAAGTTCATTCTCAATACTTTCATTTTGGGCCGACCAACTCATAGTCTGTGATCTATTTCCAAAACTTAATTATAATTTGTAAACTTATACTAAAAAAAAAGGATAAAAATACAACCTAGAAAGCTTAGGCTGTTCGATCCAAACTTTCTATTACAACACACACATATATAGGTATGAATATAATATATATGTGGGTATATAAAAATATTCAAGCTATACATGTGAAGTGGATATCGGATTCTCACGGCCACTCCGACACTCGTACGAGCAAGAAGAAGAAGACAGTCGGTTTTAACGAGTTCGGTTACCGAGATAAATCTCGGGCCTACATCTCGGTCGGACGGTGCCGGCGAATCCACTAGAGAAAGAACAGAACGGAAAGCCAACAACCGGTAACCTCCACAAAGCACCGGAGGTTCACCCCGAGAAAAGAATCGGAGAAACAAGACAGCCCACAAGATACAACCGAGAAACGGAAAGTCCTTACCGGAACCTTCAACCTCACCTTTCTCCTTGGCCGTCTCCGAGCTCCGGCGTCGCCGAGGCTCCACCGTCTCCGGGATCTCCCTTTCGATCGCCTTCTCTATTCTCTCTCTCGAACCCCTCCTCGAGCCACGCGCCGTGTTTCTCGCGAATACCCAACACATTAGGGTATTAACCCTAAAACGCAAAACGCCATATTTCGGAAAGCCTCTCCCTCACGTGAAGGGTTTAACTTTTCCACCAAATGGGCTTTGAGGCCCAACACATGTGTATATATATATATATATATATATATATATGACTGTGTGAATATACGTATATGTATTTATTATATGTATATATATATAAATACACATATTCAAGATGATATTGAAGCTCTAGACATGTAAAAAGCGGTTGGAAATAGTTCATGAATCATCGACGGAACGTATGAACGCTTTGTTTTGAAGTTTTTGTTAGTATATAGTAATAGCTTATGAAATGGATTTAGACATGTCTTGTACGTATTATCGATATAACCCTTTTTTTTTTGTATCGATATGCTTTTTAGAACAAAACTGATTTTTTCTTATATTTGACTTCAATTCGCAAACCGGGTTGATCCAAACCGGACCAATTTAAAAAACGGATTTGGGCTATATATTTAATATATTTCCAACCGTTTGAAAAACGGGTTGAACTTGTCTGAACCGACAAAATGATAGATTAATGACAGACCCAGATTGGTCCAAACGGGGCCGGTTTGAAACTCTCTCACGACGTGTATCAACACCATTATAACTAGGGGTGGGCGATCGGATCGGATCGGATTATTCGGATTCGGTTATTTTGGGTTCGGGTTATTCGGATTTGGAATATTCATATCCAATCGGGTATATAATTTTAATCGGTTCGGTTCAGGTTTGGTTCGGATTTTTTCGGGTTCGGTTCGAATTTATCCAAACAAATAATCGGTAAAAAAAGTTCTTGCAAATCTTCTGAATATGATTTCTCAAAATGTTTGTACCCATTGATCAACATTCTGTCAATACAACATCACAATAATTGCAAAAACTTTAACTTATTCTAATTTTTTTTTCAAATGTTTAAAAAAAATATATAATTAAAAAAAATCAACAAATATAACATAAATAAAAAAATTAGAATCAGAAGTTTTTTAGCGAAAATTTCAAAACAGAGTACTATGTTTGTCAATTGTTTATGAATGAAATATGATCCGAAAAGACAAATCTCCCATAACACATAAACTCCATCCAACAAAAATTTCTAAATAAACAAAGCTAACTAAATATTTCTAAATTCAAAGTTATACAAAAAAAAAAAATCAAAACCCAAATATTGAGAAAAATGCACGAAAACTGATGAACTTCCATCGAAGAGATTCAGAAAATTAGAAGAAGAATGTTGATTATCACCATCTGTTAACCAAATACAATACTCACAATAGATTGCATATCAAAAAACCCATTCTTACACATTAACAATCGAGATCTGATTGTCGACAGAAATTCACAATAAAAATCACAGAGATCCGACAACGACGAGCATGAGATCGACAGAAGGAGAAAAAGAAATCACATAAGAGGGAGAAGAAGAATGAAACTCACAGTCACAGAGAGGCGACGAAAGACCGAGGCGAGGCAGACCAGAGAGAGGCGACCGACAAGTCGACGACGAGAGGTGCAGAAAGAGACGAGACCGACGATGAGAGGTGGAGAGAAAGAAGAGCCCGGCGGAGAGATATGTAGAGAGAGAGAGGAGGCCGGCAACGAGAGTTGCAGAGAGAGATGAACAACGACGAGAGCAGTAGAGAGAGACACAATGCAGACAGAGGCGAACGTCGGCGACGGATAGGAGGGAGTTGAATTGAGTCGAGCTTGAGGAGATGGAGTCGAGCTCGAGGGAGGAAGAAGAGCTTGGCTTCGGTAATGGCAGGGTGGAGTTCGAAGCGGATGAATATTGACAGAGGAGGAAAATATAACCCTAAATTTTAATTTAATTTCGGTTTATTCAAATAACCAAAACCGATCGGCTATTTACCCGAACCAAACCGATCCGATCGGCTATAGGATGACAGAAACCGATCGGTTATTTTTTAAATAACCGATCCGAACCGAACACCGATTAATCAGATCGGTTTTATCCGAACCCGATTAACCCGATCCGAATGCCCATGCCTAATTATAACCACTCTTGATATCTATGTTCTAATCTATTGATATCGATGTTTGATCTACAAAATTAAAGAAGATATCATGGATTATATAATTAGATTAATAATTAGAGATTATGAATGGGATAAAAATGAGAAAGCGAAAAAAAAGTTAATGTTATCATTCGTATGATCAAATATATAATAATATCTAATGATAGTATAAAATGAGAAAGGAAAAATTATATTATGTTAGAAAATATATTATAACGATGTTTCATGTAACTTGTATAAAAAAAAATCTGAATTGCTAAATTGGGAAAAAAAACACCTCGCAAAGGCTTTTTCCTTTTATATATTCTAGCAGATTTTCGGGTGTTTTTTTTTAATTGTGAATGAAACGCTGTAATGACAGCATCTGACCCTAATTACAAAATTAAGATTTTATTTTAACGCGTTAGATGAATGAAGCCGAAACGTACACGTGGCTACGGCCCACAAGGCATGAAATATACCACCAAATAAATTATTATAAATTTAATTAAAATCTGTTTGCATTGTTGCCTTCTTTTTTTTTTTTTTGGGTTAATTTTTATGTTATCCCTTTCCTTTCTTCCTACGAGCTCTACCCAGTGCCCAGCAACCACCGCCGCTTCTCCCCCTTCATTCTTCTCCCCGTATCCGATCATTTCCAGATAAATCCGGTGAAATTCGGAGTAACCCTTTGCTTCTCTTCGTACAGCGGTCTCCGACTTCCATTTCACGTCGATAAATCTGAGGAAATCGACATTAAATTCGAGTCTCTTCGATAACGACATGTCAACTTCTCTGGGTTGCCCGCAACAACCACCGTGTTAGAATCTCCGGTTTTTATCATCCGGGTGTTGTGATTCTCTGGGGAGGAGTTGTGGGTTTCGATTGTTTTCGTTAATGGAGAAGCGGATCTTGTTGTTTGTGGTGGTATTGGGGAATCTAACGTGCGCCGCCTTCTCATCATCTTCCTCCGTCGATAGGTTTTCGTTCTGTTCCTTGGTTTCTGCTGAAGATTACATCTTAGGGTTTCGAGATCGTTATGGTTCCTTATCTTTGGATGATGGTGATGAATTGGATGAGGATCCCGGCTTCGTTTCCGTAACCGAGGTATGATTTCGGGAAAATTCTCCCGACTTTTTGGTTTTTTCGGTTCTGATGGATTTTTTGGGAACCTCTCCCAGTTTCTAGGGTTCCTGTTCGATCTGAATTTGCGATTGCTTAGCTGAATCTGGCTCTCGTTTAGGGTTTTGCATTGAGCCGACGTCGGGCAAAAAAGTTTTTTCTTTTGGTGTCATATATGATTGTTAAACAAAGGGACAAAACATTCAGACAAGTATTCATGAATTCGAAGCATTTGCTCTGGTGCGGCATTTCTTAGAGGCTACTGCTTTTCCCTGGTTTATGTAGGGAGATGAGCGGTCGTTGATCATCGCGTTGGATATGATTCATACAAAAGAGTGCGACTATGTGGCTTTGCTCTTCTATGCGTCTTGGTGTCCTTTCTCCAGATCATTTAGACTGAGTTTGGACGCTCTCTCTTCACTCTATCCTTCAATTCCTCACTTTGCAATCGAGGATTCTACAGTCAGGCCAAGGTGGGTTGGTGTAAAGTCAGAATCTTTTTGGCTTTTGGCACTACAGTAATTCTGAACTTAGCTGGTTTTATGTGGTTCTTGGTGCAGCATTCTCTCTAAGTATGGAGTTCATGGATTTCCTACCCTCTTCCTGATGAATTCAACGATGAGAGTTCGCCACCGGGGCTCCAGAAGCCTCGGGTCTCTTGTTGCATTTTATAGTGATGTTACTGGTAAGACATTTGTTTCTTGCAGCTGTTTCATTTGATATTCAATTTCTGCTTGTTGTGTTTGTTCTGCGCTTGTGCCTTTACCTTGGTGTAGCTATTTGGTGGATTTGCCTAGTGAGACTAAGTTATAAAAAGAAATGGTTTTAATGGTTAGTTGCCATCCGGTGTAGGGATAGAAAAGCTGGACGAAGCTTCTTCGGTTGAGGAAAACAGATTAGTGCCCAATCTTGGGAACCAAAGCACCACCGAGCAAGAAAACTGCCCCTTCTCATGGGCAAGATCACCTGAGAATCTGCTTCGCCAGGAGACGTATTTGGCACTTGCCACCGTGTTTGTCCTTTTGAGATTGCTCCATTTGGTTTTCCCGACACTGGTTGTGTTTGTGAAATTCACATGGGGACGGGTGGCTCAGAACATGAGCCTCGAGAGCCTGTCCGAACACACTGTCTCATATCTCAGCCGGGTCGTACGGTTACGGATGCAGCTTAAAGAGCCTTGCAAGAGGAGCAATCTGCAGGAAGGAGCCATGAATGCCAGAGCATGGGCCTCCAAGTCCTTAGCGACTGTTTCGATCGGCGATTCGGGCTCATCGAGCAGAGGAGCTTCTGCTTCTCAGTGACGTGAACCCCTCTAAGGCGTGCATGATTTGGTCGTTCAGATGAAAAACTCTGGACTGCATCAGTCATCTTTTACCCTTTACTTGTATAACGAGAGTTCCTCAGGAATCAGTATGGCTTTGAGGGGTTTAATTTATAGCTAAAAACATTATATGTAGCAGATGCAGATGCAAATGCAATTAGATGATAACATTGTAATCTATTCATTTTCCTGTCAATATGAAACCTGAATTGATGTGTTCTTCTTCTGTAACTTGCTTCCTTGGATACCTTCTTCACATTGGGTTTTCAGACAATTTCGTGACAGTAGAAGGGTTCACAGGACATGATCTTACCAAAATGTTTGTCTAAATCTTGCATCAATCTGCCCGCAACCGCAAGTAGATGATAGAAGCTTAACAATCAATAAAAACAGAAGAGAACAAAACAAGAAAAAGTTTGCAAAATTCAATGCAATTCATAAGAAATTAGGATGTACCAGCTCGAGATTCACCAGGAAGAGCGCATAAACCCTAATTTCTGGGGTTAATTTGGCGGGAGAAATTCCTGGGAAGTGAAACCCAATTGGTGTGTGTATATATAAAAAAAAAAAAATTGTACCTGAGGAAACCTCTGGAAGAGGAAGAGGGTTGGAGTGGGCACACATGTGTGGTTTGCACGGATACTGGAAGACATGAATGAACCAATGAAAAGGTCCAAAATACAGAGATGTGTGGGGCCCATATAAACGTCATCGACGGCTCAGATTTCTCGATCATAAGGTTTTGAGGCATTCCACTAACCAAGGCTCATTCTCAGCCGTCGATCTCGTTCTCTTGTCTGAAACCGGACTCTCCGTTCCTTATAATAGAGCGTCGAAGCAGTTTCTTTCATCACACAAGACACAAAACCCACAGAGAGAGAGAGAGGGAGGCGATGGAGAAGGAAAGGGACAATCAGGTTTACTTGGCGAGACTGGCCGAGCAAGCCGAGAGATACGATGGTAATCAAAGTCACATACCTTTTGAATTCGGGCTTTCTTTCCCTGATTCATTGAACTCTGTTCCCCAGATCTTCGTTTCATATTTTGTCCGGAAACGTGGCGGATTTTTTGGATTAATTTGTGGTTACCCAGGGAATACTAGGTTAGGAATCTTGAGTTTTCCGTTTCTGGGTCTTGCTAATATCGAGTTCGTTCGTTGGTTTGTCTGCTTGTTGCTCGACACCGATCAGTTTGAAGCTCGAGTAGGTAGATTCGTGACTCAGGACGCTAGTTTTATGGTGTTTTGTCGGTGTTTGGTGCACAAATGGATCTTATTTTTACGCTATTGGTTCTGTTCCTCGGAGAAGGAAGGGTTCGATTTGATTTGTCAGTGTTACTGAGCCCTGCCTTGTGATTGATGTCATCTCTGTTTGAGTAATTCTTTGTGGACTCTTGGAGCAGAGATGGTTGAAGCGATGAAGAAAGTTGCGCAGCTCGATGTGGAACTCACGATCGAAGAGAGGAATCTGTTGTCCGTGGGTTACAAGAATGTTATCGGTGCCAGAAGAGCGTCT